GGCAGGAGGCCATGGAGGGCCAGGGAGAGGCAATGCTGGAGCCAGAAGGGGAGACATATGATGAGTCCCAGCAGGTAATCAGCCTACAATACGCAAAGTGCACGCATGGCTCTGCTCTGTCATCAAAGTATCACAAGAATCGGCTTTTGAATTGGACTATAATTACATTACAGATTACATGTGTAAAACCCTTTAAAAAAAACTGTGGAGTAGTGGACATCAGGCAGAGATGAGTCCATTCACTTACAGTAGATTGAGGTTCATCAGTATTCACAAGCTCTGCATGGATACACATTTTAGCTGTATTGGATTTCAATGGCACTCCACTTTTGCCCTCCACTTGTGTCCCACACAAACACTACAGCTCACGCTGAGGTAATTTTTCCTTTCTGTGGAAATGATAACGGAGGACTTAACAAGCCAATTGCCACGCAGCTAGTACAGTGAATATAGCACCACCTACTTTCACTGAGCGTTGGGTGTGTGTCCGTGTGCACGAAGGAGGTATGTGAGTCTGACACAGATGGTTATTTTTGGAATTTGGCTGTCAGGGGCGAGACAAACTGTGCAGAACTGATGGCTTTGAGTACAGATTTTAAATAGCGATGGTAGCATATAAAAATATCATACAGCGTACATAATGTCAAAGGGCTGATCGTGCTAGTATGAGAGCACTGATCCTGTGTTATTGCCACTGAATATATACATTTTCTGAAGCGGGTGAAATAAGACTTATTTTGAGATTTTATGTGATTTCCAATGATAATATATTCTGTGTGTTTACTTTGATAGTCCTTTCCATCAGTGGAGTCTTGCACTAGTTGGGAAAAGGAGTAAACCCGAGGCGTTCCCTGAGATCCAAATTCAAAGTGAATTTCTCCACGGATGTGTATCATCCTTGTCCTCCTCTCTCCTCCCATCTCTCTCCTACTCCTCCGTGTCTCTTTCCCCTCCCCCATCTTTTGCTACACCAGCGGTGTGCAAGCTCGGTCTGAATGGGTGTGGTGATGACGCTCTCTGCCTTCATGCATTGTGGGTAATGTCAGGATCTCCCTGCATTGCTGTAAATATGGAGTCTGAGTGCTGCAGAGTGAACGAAGCCATCACTGGGAGGATCTGAAAAAACTGTGTCATCCAGTATCACTCAAGGCTTTGTGAATACATTCGATGACATAAGACTGTTGGAGGCTGTGTTATTTATTTATTTTTTATGATCATGCGTGGTGGAGGCGTGTGCAGGCTTGCAAGGAGAGTGTGCTCACGATGCGCGTCCTCGATGTAAGTGCAGTCTTGTGCTGCCCTCTGCAGGCTTGAGAGAAGCACTGAAGGAACAGATGAGGTCAGCTTCAACAAAGTGACTTCATTACCATCTGCTGAGACTAATAAACTCTGTATCATATATTCTGCTAAATCACATTAAAGCTGAATATTATTTTAGATGTAGATTTACCTTTAGAGCTTCTGTGTGCTGCAAATTTTACTGGCCATTCTCATAAAAGACTTGCTCTTCTTTTCCCCAGGAGAGCCAGGACTACGAGCCAGAAGCATAAGAGCATCAGTCGAAGCCACCGTCCAACCAGCAGCACAATAATATTTCTAATAATAAAAAGGACAAATGCTGAAACTATTACAATTATATTCCTGTTGCAAAAAAAAAAGAAAAAACAATAAAAAAGACAAGCATTCCCACTGAAAAATGTTCTTCCTTCAAGACAAATCTTTTATTATTATATATTGTAAATGTCATGTTCTTAATGTAATGTGTTGGGTGTAGGTATTTATTGAGATGTAGGATTTGTCCTCACGGTCTCATTTCCTTGATTCCCTCCCAATGAAATGAGACCAGAACCAGGGCTTGTGAATTTGTACTTGTGTGTATCTGTATTTAGAAATGTGCAATAGATGTTCATCATCTTCCAATGAGACATTGGGAGTGGTAAAAAATAAATATGACCGGTTGCAAGCAGATATGAATACAATAATATCCTCCTAAGTGTCGACAATGCCTGTTTGTGGAATTCTATTTTTCTTTTTGCATTTCTTTGGAAGTTTAATTTGAACGTTTCTTGAAGTAAGAGTTTTTTACATTGTATCTTTATGATTGCTTGTGAAATCATTCCAGTAAACTATCTGTTAGAAACTGACAGAGTGTACACGTTTGTGTGTGTGTGTGTGTGTGTGTGTTTGTTTGTATGTACTGAAGATTTTATCAAGTTAAAGTCAATATATTACGTCTTGGAATCATAATGGTTGTCATATCAATATGTGCTTTAAATTGCAGGACTTGTCAATATAAAGGGTTACATGTTAAGCCAGACATACAAATCCTCTGTAAATAAAAGGTTAAAAAAACACACATTTGTTAGCGTTGTTTAATAATGTGAAAACTCATTTACTGCGCTCATCGCTTATCGCATTGTTAAATCTTTTCTAAAGTTGACCTCAATAAGAATCTATTATGCGTCGCCCTCGCATGTTTATCTTTTTTGCTCACTCTTGTCTGGGGTGTGATTAAAGGATGTGTAAAATCTGCTGAGTAGGCTCTGGCCATTGGCACAATGGTGCCATATTTGGGATTCCAGTCTGATCGTGCCTCTTTGGATGGGTTTTGTTTTGGTTAATCCAGCTGGAACGTGCAGGCTCGGTGGTGCCGGGCTCAAGCCGAGGGTATTAAACAGCTGCTCCTGCCGCTCTCAGATCAGAAGGGTGTGTGGAAGCTGCAGGGACAAAGACAGGAGCCATGGCATCGTTCAAGAAGTCCTTTGAGGGCCTGAAAAGCACGAGCCACTCAGCCGCTAAAGGAGTCACAGACACTGCAGGTACAGACCGGTGGCTACAAGTTGATACGATCGACATCAGACCTGGAATCAAGAGAGTTGTACTGCAATTAATACAGCATTTTATTTTTCTTTCTAAGAGGTTTTGCAGTAAAATGAAGTTTAAAAACTGTCAGTCACTTTAAAAACCTGTGATGCGTTTCCAGTGCAGGCAGCTGAGGAAGCCGTGCAGCAGGTGGCAGACTCCTCCAAAGAAACAGTCAACACAGGTAAGGCGCACATTCCTTCCTTCTAGCATCATATACTGTAATGCAAACATTAGTTGGTGTTTATTGAGGCATGGATTGCAGACACAAGCTGTCAGTCATATTACTGCCAAATTAGATGTTTAATTGCTAATAAAAGCAGAGCAGTTAAAAGGAAACATGAATTGTAAAAATGAATGCAGTCAAAATAGAAATATTGGAATTATTATAACAGTATGAATAAAATGCAAATTTTATATTGTTTAAAATTAGTTTTAGAACTAAATCCTCAGGTTATTAGAAAAATTTGAAATGTGGGGAAATAATCATATTTGACAATCATACAAATGAATGCACTGTGAAAATATTAGTTGAATATTTTTTTATTCAACTCTATCCAGTTGAATATTAGCTGAATATTAGAGGATTTGTTGCTTAACTTACTTCTCTTCTGTTCTGCTCTGACTTATCAAAGCTGCGGAAGAAACCAGCAGGCAGACTCAAGCAGCCATAGGAAAAGCTGCGGGCAAGGCCACGGACACCATCAAGGAGTTTGGGCAGAAAATGGAATCTAAATGATCCCTAAAGAATGGACACTTGTAGCTGAAAGTTAAGCCAACTTGTCTGATCATCCCCTTCAGGCAGGGGAAACTGTTGGGATGGAAGTATGCAAACCATATAAACTATTTTGAAAAAGATATAAACTATATGTATCTATATATATCTATATCTATCTATATATATATATCTATATGTAACTATATAGATACATATATAGAGAGAAAGAGACATATGGCTTTACGTAGCTAACATTCCAGAAGAAATGTTTATAAACTGTCTTTTCTAATTTTCCATTTGTGCTTTTTTTCTTCTTTTTCTTTTTTGCTTTCTGCCTGTTTTTGCGAAATAAATGAATTCCAACACCTCTTACGGGTTCGTAAAATGTGATATCCTGCCACACTCCAGAGACTTAACACTGTTAGTTGCTCTGCAGGCACGGTATCTATGATGCATCCTGTTTTTTTGCTCTGTGGAGCGCACTCATCAGTGAATCACCACGGTCATCATTATTACCAACACATTGCTGAGAAGATGGCCTTTGGCAGGCTGATGGCCCCTGATGAGAGTGTGATCAGAGCCCGTCTACCTTGGTCCTCAGCAGCACACCTCCCCTGCATCCCACTACGTGGTTGCTAGGCAACAGAACTCTGTGGCAGCCTTCGAATTAACGGCGAGAATACTTATGTCAGTACACGGTGTTCTGGCCAAGCAGCCCACTGCCATGCTACAAGCAAGTCGGTTAGAGATTCTCAAAAAAAATAAAAAATATGAAAGAAATGTAATCGTCCTCAGTCCCACTCAATCACTAGAGGTGAGCAGAATTAGAGAGGCTCTAGAGAAATATGTGTCGCAAAGCAGGGAGGTTGGAGGGGAATGACAAATGTGTATAAAAGACTTGGTGATTTACAAGTGTTTGTTTGTGTGGGAGGCGAAGCTGCTGCTTCCAGGCTCCTTCAGCTTAAATTCTCTGTTGTGCCTTTCATGTACAGATGCTGCAGAACAACCACTGTTACTAATATCTCTCTGATGTCCTCCACAAGCTTTGAGTTTGCATAGACTTTTTGGAAGTCCTGTAATGAGCCTGTGATCATCTGTCTTCCTGAAGTAGGACATGTTTTAAGCATTTATCTATTTATTTTTTTTAGTTTTTACTAAGCTTAAGATTCTGTTAAACAAACAAATGGGCAAATGTGGCCTTGACGCACACATGTACATGCACACATATACATGCACACATATACACACGCACACACAGACAGAGACTGCTGTTTTAGTTCAAAACACTGCTTCATTATTGCTAAGAGAAATCCCACTTCTGCATACTTCACCCTCCCTCCCTCATGATCATTTGTAATGACGTGAGAGGTTTTATCACCAATTTATGCCTCCTTTAAAATTTCTCCAGATTAGCCAGTTCACAGGTTTATCTCGTGTGCACGTAGCTGCCATTGTGTTTCTATGAGAACCTGAAGTTAATTACTATGATTTACTGCTGATTAGAGAGCTGTAGAGAGATTTTGCCATTACATTACCACTCACTGCCAGAAACCCGACTGTGGTTTCCAGGGAAACTGGAAATGTGAAGCTTTTCAATAGACACAGCCACAGCCTAAAGAGCGAGGATTGCCTAAGATAGATTCTTCTAGAGACAAACCTGTAGCCACTGCAATCAGCATCAATCACCGGGGGGAGATGCACGGACAGATGTTTGTCGCAATCGGTGCTGAGATTTGCAATGTTTGACCCAAATCTGAAGAAGAGTTGTGGAGTGGCTTCAGCCTGACTTTAGACTGCTGAGGTATGTCCTAATTTTCTGAGATCTCCTTTTGTAATCATGCTTGTTTTATAGTTACATTTTGAAAACAACTCTGAATTCATGTGCATGCTGTTTGTGTTATGTAATTATGGACTAGAATAGAATTCAGACAGGAGCTGATAATGAGATATTTTTGGGCATGAAGATTTGACTTTGTCTCTTTTTAAAGTATTTAAAAAGATAGTCCTGCGATATTAAAGTAAGTGTGCAAACAATTCTGATCAAGTAGTAGCAGTGATGCTCCTGTGTCTATTTGAATAACTGAATAATATCAATTTAGTTTCATATCGCATGACAGAATATTTTTATCTTCCGCTTGTGCTTGGGCTTGTTCCCGATTATAAACTGCACGGACACTTTCACACTGCTGTGTTATTCCTGCAGGTAATTCTAGCCCTTTAATGCGGAGACAGAATGGGAAGCCTTAAGGATGAGATGAGAGGTGTCACAGAGGACCACCAGCCTTGCGAGAAGACGGATAATGGGGGGCGTCCGGGAGGCTCAGATAGCACTGCTGCGCCTGAAGGACCTCAACTGTACAGGAGTCAAGAGTCAGCCACTCAAGGGGACTATCAGCCGGCACTACAGGGGAATGTCAGCTCTGTTGAGGAGAAAGAGAAAAACCTAATATCTAAAGATCAAGTGCTTTCAGGGGGGGATTATGGCAATGCTGACCTAACAGACACTGAACGAGTTAAAAACTGCACACAGATCGATGCCATGCCTGCAACGGAAGAGCACAATAAAACAACGACAGCAGCTACAAATAACGATGCAAAAGTGACGATCAAGTTTCTGAGTGATGGAGATGGAAAACCTGAAATTCAAGAGGAAAACTTTGAAGATCAAAATCTCAACAGAGGAAAAGATGCAGGAATTGAGAAAATCTCAGTTGCTGTCCCATCAACTCCAGACCCTTGTGACCCACGCTCCCCAGCCCCTTTTGGGCAGCACCACATGCGCACACAGGTGAGCCTCGAGGTGGTGCAGTGCTGCTCGGCAGCAACCAGCCCCATGACTCCTCCAGAGGGCAGCCATTCCTTCTTCTTCCCAAGTTCTTTTGGGAAACCTCAAGCCGTGGGCACTGACACTAAAGATGCAGAGTTGCAGGTTGGTCAGCAAGTGGAGTTCTGCTCTGTCGCCACATCCCCCATGACCCCAAAATCCCCATATAGCATGGCTTTCCAAGAGGTTATCGGGAGAGAGCCAGTGCAAAGGGATGAGAAAGTGAAAAAGAATGAGGAGCAGAGGGAGACTGGTCAGCAGGAGACAAAAGTTTCAGCAGATGCTGCATCAGAAACAACTGAAAGTTTAAAATTTACTACATCAAAGGAGATGACTGAGAGTTCCACCAATGGAGTGGATGCTGAGTTAATAGGCGCACATGTAAGTGTGGAGGATAGCAATCAGCAGTGTAAGCAGCAGAGGATGGGAAGTATGGATCAAGACATTACAATCTTGGTGACCCAGTATGGCAACAATGAGGAGGAAGAAACGGATGAGGCTGAGTCGTTTTTTTATTCTGTTGAACCGGAGATGGTCAAAATAGATGAAGATGAGGTTGGAGAAAGCTGCAGTGATATAAAGAGGAAGGAAGGAAAGGGAAAGTCCCTCAGTGAAAGTGTTCACGGGAGCACAAACGATCCACAAAGTAAAGTACCTTCTGCTGCTGTCAGCCAACATCCGAAAACATGCACAGGATCCGAGCAGTCAGAGGTCGAAGACAAAGATGCACGTGAAGAAGAGAGAGTTGTTTCTGCAAAAAAATCCCCCATCCCTGAATCACCGGCTCCCTTTGGCTGCCACAACATCCGCACACAGGTGAGCCTGGAGGTAGTACAGTGTCAGTCTGTGGCCACCAGCCCCATGACCCCGCCTGAGGGGGACCAGGCCTTCTATTTCCCCACCTCTTTTGGAAAATGTGGGGCTGTGGGCACAGGGACTAAAGATGCTGAGCTGCAGGTGGGTCAGCAGGTGGAATTTCGCTCTGTCGCTACCGCACCCATGACCCCGAGAACTCCCACGATTATGACTTTCCCTCAGGTCATGAAGGAGCCTAGTATAGAGGAGAAGATAGTGGAGGAGGAAGAGGAAAATAAAGAAGAGGCAACAGAGGAGAAAGAGGAAAAGAAAGAGGAGGCGACAGAGGAGAAAGAGGAAAAGAAAGAGGAAGCGACAGAGGAGAAAGAGGAAAAGAAAGA